ATATGTACCATATTTTCCTTATCCAGTCATCCATTAATGGACATTTAGGTAGGTTCCAATAGTTATCTATTGTAAATAGAGCTGTGATAATCATGGGAGTGCAGGTGTCCCTTTGACATAATGATTTCCATTCCTTTGGATATAGATCCAGCAGTGGGATTGCTGAATCACATGGCAGTTCTATCTGTAGTTGTTTGAGAAAACTCCATACTGCTTTTCATAATGGCTGCACTAACTTAGTCTCTCAACAGTTTAGGAGGGTTACCCTTTCTCCCCATCTTTCTCAGCATTTGTTATTCTCTGTCTTTTTGATAATAGCTAGGCCAACTGGTGTGAGATGATATCTCAGTGTGTTTTTGATTTGCATTTCCCTGATGCTCAGGCATGTTGAGCATTTTTTCACGTGTCTCTCGCCTTTTGTATATCTTCCTTTGAGAAATGCCTATTCAGCTCCTATGTCCATTTTTTAATTGGGTTACTTGTTTTCTTACTGTTAAGTTGTTTGAGTTCTTTGTATATTCTGCATATTAATCCCTTGTTGGATGCATAGTTTGCAAATATTTTCTCCCATTCTGTAGACTGTTATTTTCACTTTGTTAATTGTTTATTTTGCTGTGCAGAAGCTTTTTAGTTTGATATAATCCCATTTGTTCATTTTTGCCTTTGTTGCCTGTGCTTTTGGGGTCTCATTCATAAAGTGTTTTCCCAGTTCTACATCCTGAAATGCTTCCCCTGTGTTTTCTTTTCAGAGTTTAAGATCTTCTGTTTAAGTCTTTAATCTGTTTTGAGTTGATTTTGATATATGGTGAGAGGTACAGATCTAGTTTCATTCTTCTACATGTGAATGTCCAGTTTTCCCAGCTTCATTTATTGAAGAGGCTGTCTTCCTCAATATATGTTCTTGGTGCCTTTGTCAAAGAGCAGTTAGCTGTAAATATGTGGGTTGATTTCTGGGCTCTCTATTCTGTTCCATTGGTCCGTATGTATGTTTTTATGCCAGTACCATGCTGTCTTGGTTACTATACCTTTGTGAAATAACCAGGTAGTGTTATGCCTCTGGCTTTATTTATTTATTTATTTATTTGCTCAGGATTGCTTTGGCTTTTCAGGGTCTCTTGCTCTTCCATATTAATGTTAAGGTTGTTTTTTGTATTTCTATAAAGAATGTCATTGGGATTTTGATGGGGATTGCATTGAATGTGTACATAGCTTTGGATATTATGGACATTTTTACAATGTTTATTCTTCCATTCCAACAGCGTGGAATATCTTTTCATCTTTTTGTGTCCTCTTTAATTTCTTTCATCAGTGATTTGTAGTTCTCATTGTAGAGATCTTTTGTCCCCTTAGTTAATTGATTCCTGGATATTTTATTTTATTGGTGAGTATTGTAAATGGGCTTGCTTTCTTTATTTCTTTTTCTTCTAGTTTGTTATTGGAGAATAAAAATGATATTGATTTTTTGTATGTTGATTTTGTATCCTGCAACTTTACTGAAATTGTTTATCAGCTCTAAGAGTTTTTTGGTAGAATCTTTGGGTATTTCTATATATACAGGATTATGCCATCTGCAAACAGGGACAGTTTGATTTCTTCTTTTCTGGATGTGCTTTATTTGTTTCTCTCGCTGATTGCTCTGGGTCATACTTCCAAAACTATGTTAAATAAGAGTGGTGGGAGTGGGCATCCTTGTATTGTTCCTGTTTTTAAAAGCTTAAAAGCTGAAAGGTTTTCCTCATTCAGGATGATATTGGTGGTGGGTTTGTCATATATGTCTTGGATCATGTTGAGATACTTTCCTTCCATACCTAACTTGCTAAGAGTCTTTAACATGAAGTGATGTTGAATTTTGTCAAATGCCTTTTCTGCATCTGTTGAGATAATCATGTCGTTGTTGTCCTTGATTTTGATGTGGTGTATCACATTTATTGACGTGCATATTTTGAACCATTCTTGCATCTCTGGGATAAATCCCACTTGATCATAGGGTATAATTGTTTTGATGTATGCTGTGTTCTGATTTTTAATATTTTGTTGAGGATTTCTGCATCTGTGTTCATCAAAGATATTGATCTGTAGTTTTCTTTTATGGTTGTACCTTTGTCTGGTTTTGGTATCAGGGGGATGCTGGCCTAATAGAAGGAGTTTGGAGGAATGGACTCTTTTTCAATTTTTGGAATAGTTTGAAGAGAACAGGTATTAATTCCTCTTTAAAGGTTTGGTAGAATTCAGTAGTGAAGCCATCTGGTCCTGGGCCTTCTTTGTTTGGAGACTGCTGGTTACCACTTCAATTTCTTTGATTGTCATTGGTCTGTTCAGGCTTTCAATGTCTTTTGGTTCAGTCTTGGTAATTAGTATGTATCTAGAAATTTATCCCTTTCTTCCCGGTTTTCAAATTTGTTGTCATATAGTTTTTATAATAATCTCTAATGATTCTTTATATTTATGTAGAATCAGTTGTAATGTCTCCTCTTTCATTTCTGATTTTTTTAATTTGGGTCCTCTCTCTTCTTTTTTTAGTTAGCCTAGTTAATGGTTTGTCTATTTTGTTTATCTTTTTAAAAAACAACTTTTTTTTCCATCAATTTTTTGTTTCATTTTTGGTGTCTCCATTTCAGTTAGTTCTGCTGTGATCTTAATTATTTCTTTCCACCTACTAATTCTGGGATTGGATTATTCTTGTTTTTCTAGTTCTTTGAGGTGTAGCAGTCGGTTGTTTATTTGAAATCTTTCTGTTCTTTTGATGTAAGCATTTATTGCAATCAACTTCCCTCTTAGTACTGCTTTTGTTGTATCCCACAAGTTTGGGTATGATGTGTCTTTACTTGCATTTGTTTCGAGAAATGTCTTGATTTCCTGTTTAATTTTTTCTTGGACCCACAGGTGGTTCAGAAGTATGTTGTTTAAGTTCCATGTGTTTGTATAGTTTCCACAGTTTCACTTATAATTGATTTCCAGTTTTAATCCATTTTGGTCTGAAAAGATACTTTAAGTGATTTCAATTTTTAAAAATTTGTTGAGATTTGATCTGTGACCTCACATATGGTCTGTCCTGGATAATGTGCCGTGTGCTGATGAGAAGAATGTATATTCTGTAGTTGTTGAATGAAATGTTCTGTAGATATTTGCCAAGTACAATTGTTCTAAAGTGTAGTTTACATCTTCTTTTTCTCTGTTGATTTGTTGTCTAGACGATCTGTCCAGTGCTGAGAGAGGGGTGTTCAAGTCCCTAGCTATTATTGTATTGGGGTCTATCTCTTTCTTTCAGTCTAATAGTGTTTGCTTTATATATCTGAGTATTCAGTGTTGCGTGTGTGTTATTTACATATATATATATGTATATGTGTATATGTATATAGGTGTATATATATGTATGTATATATGTATCTGTACATATTTATGTCCAGATACTTTTATAAAGGGAATAGATAGAATTACAGTTCAGAAGTGTACTCCCATAATACATTGCTTATTCTCCAACTTTAGCATTTATGAAAGGTTCAGTTGCTTTGCAACTAGTTATAAATTTATGTTCTCTGCATTGCCAGGAATGTAAGCTTCATAACATCATCTGTTATTACTTAGTCTTTCTATCTCCAATGAACATTTCATCACTGTTGAAACGCATATGCCACGGAATCCTATACACTTTTACTGTAGTTTTGAATATCTATTTCAGTAATATTTCTGGAAAGAAATGGAATGTAATTTGATATATTAATAACAATAGCACTTCTGTTTTTGCTGCTCCATTGCTACTGCTAGGATGAAGAAGGGGAGGAGGAAAAAATTATCTTGTTTAAGGCTGAGCATTTTACATTAATCATCTTACATAATTTAATCCTTAAAACAGGGTAATTATCTGTTTTCTAATAATAAAATAGCATTTAGTAGGAATTGATTGAAAGAAAGACACCATTGGTATTCAGATTAAAGTTAAAAACAAATTTCATAAAAGAGTATGACTAATAAATAAAACATTGTCATATGACCACTGTTATCCAATCAGTTCAGCTTAGATAGAAATTATAGCATCACATTATACCTATGGGATGGCTCCCTACCCATTTTCACAATAAAGCTCAAGGGAAAAATATCATCATGTGTCACAGTATTTCTATTTATTCTGTAGATTTTCTTGCCCAGAAAAGAAATTAGAGAATCTTAAAGTGTGATGTTATTAATTTTATTTTTAGCTTTCATTATTATTGCCAACCATAAAATTTTTATACTGATGAAACAAATGATGATGAAAATCTTAGTAATAAAATTACCATCATCATTAAATATGGGATAGTTGTGCAATAACCAAGACTCGAAGAAGATAGAAACATGGGTTTGCCACTCTAACTTGGAAAAGTCTTTCCATCTTTTTGAGTCTCAATTTCTTTATCTGAAAAGTAAGGAGTTGTACTAAATGAGCTCTAGGTTTATGTTCTGCTTTACATGTACCTTAACTTATGTTTACTAGAAAAGAATCTCCTTCAGTTGGTCTCTTAGAATGAGAAATGATGTTAGGGAAAATGCACAAGGTCAGATTTTGTAGCCAGTGTCCTGGTTAGAGAGAAATATAGGGATACTTTTGTCGATTTTATTCAGCTATAGTTTCAGTGATAGACATGTACAATATTTCACGCAGTTGGTATGGACAGGCTGTGCTTTATGCTATTGTATAGATTTGATGGTTGCAAATACGGTGTTGATCCATTACACACTATTTCTTCCTTGAGGTTCCTCCTGAGAGCCTTCAGATGGATTCATCTTCATGAAGTAGTTTCGACAGTCTATACTCTTACCCCACAAATTCATGGCTAATTTTCATTTGAAATTAAAAACCACACTCACACAAATTAACATGTTTTGCTGTGTTTAAAGCAGTTTAATTACAACAAATGAAGTAAATATCAATGTTGGTGGTTTTCAGAAACAAATGTGTTTTGGACATGTTTTGAAGAGAGAGAAGATTCTTACCTTTCCATGTTATTTATTTCTGATTGCAGAACTTTAGATGGTGGCAAAGTAGTTGGCACCATAGAAGTCAGTGTCGTGAAGATGGGGGAGATTGAAGATGGGGAAGCTGACCACATCATGACAGATGTGCAGGGACAAAAGGTAGGATCTTGGTCAGTTTATTGCACAAATTTAATTAGAAATGATCAGTTTTGCCAGATGCTTGTGTTACCAACACCTCTGTGGGGTTTGAAATCTCATCTTTCAAAAGCTAAATAAGAAATTACCTGTGGAACTGGAGTACAATAAATATGTGAGCTTCGTCCTCTGAACCAGAGGTCCCATTTGCATAGAACTGTGCAGCCATGCACCATTCAGAAACACCTTCCTCTTTATAGCCAGCTCCCCTGTTGACACTGCCTCTTCTCAGTTGGAATAAAAGTATTGATCCTAGTTGCATCCTACTGTAACCCTGCACGAGATGCACAGAAAATTCTGGGAAGGCTATTGCC